TTACAAGTTTTATCATTTTAAACAGCTGATATCGTCGTTGGAAGAAAAAAATGGGGTTAGCGCATCGCATCAAGTGTCATTTTAAGCACACCTCATGACTAATGAAATGATCGACACCAAAAGTGGCTTGTCACTCATAAGACAGCTGACAACTTTGACGAAATTATTGTCAACTTCACAGAACGTTATGGAGCAATGCTTTGTGGGCGGCATCTGCTTGACAGCACAGTAGCACCCAGAATACGGCAATTTAAATGTGCCTATTGCTGCTGGTCTAGGCTAAGGACCCACGGCAAAAACGGAACGTGAGATGCATTACGACTAGAATAGACCGTCGTAAAGTCACAGCACCGTTTTGTTCCAGGAGTTCCAGGGTAAAAGATGCATGGTTTTGTTCCGTTTTATTCCTGTCACGTCTGCGGACCGGTTGATATCAACAGTAGACAGTGCGCCGCGAGATGCTTGAGGTAAATGCCATTTTATAAGGGCGAGGGACATTATTTGTATGCCTTATATTCACCTGTATACGAATAGTAGGTGCTTGTGAGAAGGCTTGCTTTATAAAGCGAGAAACACAGCCTACAAGATTTACACTGTGGAAAGCGTTCTAAGACAAGCAGCATTCTCGTGTTGCATTATTAACTGAATATGAACATGTTGACCATGTCATGAATATTCCTAAGACGAACATTTTTGTGCTTAGGATGCATTACAAGCTACATCATATGTGACCAAATGGCTGCTTGTGTAACGTTTGTATACTGGGGGATGAAAACAGGGTCAAACTTTTAATTAGCAAAGCTTTCGCCGGAGTACTTTAATGTTTGTCCACAATCCGGTATTGACGAAATGACGCAAAAAGTTTTGAGCTGAGTTGTTAGAAGGCTTACACCCCATATAAGGCCGCGAGAGCGCCGAGGACCAACGTTGCGGTTTCTTTGGGGCTTGCGGCGTCGGCCGCCGCGTTCAGTGGCCGTGGGCGGACTGAAAACGACCGCGCAGCGGAAGGTGATACTTTGCAAAGCATCATCATGTCAGTGCGTTTTACATGTTGACCAGGCAGACATGTAAAGTTCACCTTTGCTTCCAGGCTGAGATTCTGAACAGAGTGGCGCTTACGACACCAAAGATATTTGAAGCCATTGGTGGAATATATCCTGTTCAGGTTGGTGTAACCACCAATCCGAGCGAAGAATCAATAGCAGATTGCACAAGTGAAACAAGCGGACAATAATACCACGCCGACGAAACAAAGATTGCATAAGGCGTTCGAATGACACCACTTTTTGATACGGAGGAGGGCCCCCTGCATCAGACCGCTGCCTAGCATTGGCAAACGCGACCGACGACATCGGGCATATGGAGACTGCAACACCGGGAGTCTGCTTTCTTGCGAAGATTGCCAGCGCGCATCCCTCCAGCTAACTCGTATCATTTTTACCGTACCATTCTGGAAAAGGGTGCGCAGTCCCCGGCGAACGAGGGATGGCCACGTCGATAGCGTGTGTTAGAGGAGAGTGTGGCAAGACGGCCACGATAGGAAAGACGAGCATCCTCTCTATAAGCTAAACGACCAGCGCTACCACAGCCAAATTCAGAAACCACGGCCTTCCGGCGCCCCTTATTGTCGAGGCGTTGCCACGTTAAGGTAAGCGGCGGAGTTTTATCATAAAAGCTATAGTGCTGTTATTTACCTTTCGGGTGAACATCTTCCCATTAGCTTGTCTTGGGCGCATTCAGCTGCTGAGGGCAAATGGCGTCGCCCGCCTCTCACCCTGGCAGGAAGGGCGGGCACCGCGGGGAATCGAACTCTGTACATCTGCTTTCCCAGACGCGCAGTGGTCAATGCAGACGCGACAGCCAAGCGAAAGTGGTCAACCAAACAGTGGTTAACGCAGACGCGTTAACCACTACACTGTCTGCACCCCACTGAACACAGAGCTAAACTCTCGTATTATATTAGGACTCTAGTAATAGCTGGGCATACATAGGATGAATTGGGTTTGCTGATATCTGCTGAAGTTTAAATATGTCGAGTATGTGCCAATTGATTTTGGGCCTTGATAGGTGATGCCACCTGGCTAACTAAGACATGCAAACTTATTTCGCAAGGTGTTTTGACACTTTTTCTTCGACACACACACACACACATTCGATGACTGAATCATGGAATATGTGTGCAGTTTTCCTTAATCACTTAGGATCAAATTTACGATACGTATTTTGAAAAGTCATGAAGTAAATTTTGATGGCCTAGCTCATCTAAGCAAACTTTATGTGTTTTGGCGGTACAATAAACATATGTGGTTGGTCGGCACAGTCTATACCTGATAGTTGGTTTTGGGATGAAACTAAAGCGTAACGTATTAATGAATACATGACCAATGCTCTACGTTTTAAATGAGTAACCTTAGCAATTTAGTCTTTGGACTTCTGACCGATATAGGAGTTTATCCAAAATACAAACAAGTCAACATAGAAGCTTGCTAAAACTACAGTTCACTGATCACCAATTAAGCATGTTTGAAATATATATATTGCTCCGATTATCATCATGCTCAATATGGCCTTCTGTGTACGCTCAAAATGGCCCTTTTCGAGCCCAGCCCAAGAGGAAAGAGGGGGGCTCAGCCGAACAGCGCGCATCAGGCGCCGTGTCTGCAGACACAGAGCTGACCGTTCATTCATTAAGCTGCTTTGAGGGTACGAAATAAGCCATTCTTACTGCCAGTTACCATACAACTAAGATTCACAAGTCTTAACACACAAATGCTTCAAGCAAAAGTTTGAAGTTTAAGGCAAACTTATGTTTGGTGCGGGGATGTAATTTTGTAAAACATGTTAGCGGGTATGCTAGAATAAAATATTCAAATGGTAGTGGCTAGGGTGAAAAAAGACTCAGCCTGCCCTCAAAATGCACCCAAGCAAAGTTTCCCCCCGAATTTAGCCAACTTGCTTCTCGAACCAAGTATGTTTCTGCATGTCTTTGCCACAGATGCATGTTTATGCATTCATATTTTGAAAAGCTTTTTCATGCAAGTACTTTTTTGTCACGGACTAAGGTGTATCACAAGCAGCCTGAGCGCATTACGACATGTAAACCAAATGCGCTCGTCTATGCCATTTCGTAAATCGTCGTGATGACGACGTAACAAGTTGTAACCCTTTTTAATAAGTCAGTGTTAGCCTGCCCAGGTTCTGTTCTGCCCAGGGGTAAATCCAAAAGATCATCAAGGGAGGAGCCACGCTCCTCTTCCTGGAACTTGCTGCCCTCCCCCCCCCCCCCCCCGACAAATAGACCTCCGGATACAGGCCACTTATTTCCATATTCTTACACCTCAATCGGTGAAATACCTCCTGCCGGAATAGTCCGCTTCTTCTATTCTACTCTGTTTCTAGAGGTCAACATTTTGCAATTCTTACGTTGTCCTAGAAGGTTTGGAGTCGCTTGTGGTACCCCTGAGCTTAAGTGCGCCTCTGAAAGTACAGATTATGTGGACCAAAGATGAGGATTGTGGTGCCCCTAACAACAAGATATTGGTGCTCCCTCGGCGGAAGAAGTGTGGGTGTGGCCCCATGGCCTCTCCCTCTGGATCCGCCGCCGTTACTGCCACTTCGGTTTGGATCTCCCAGGTAGAAACTATGGGTTTGCACAGATCCTGCAGATATCGAGTTGTTTTCTGGATTGCAATAAATCATGACAGCCATGTCAGTCAATCCTTGACAGTAAGTCAGCCAATGACATAGTAACGGTAACGGTACATCATATCACCGACGCAGCATACCCCATGCACAGCTGATACCACATGTAGCGCCCAACATATTGGCAGAACGTTTGCGCGCTCCCGAAGTCCTTGACAAGCAGATGCCAAGTGTCTTTTTTTTTCGGCGTACATGCCACACGTTCTTTCTCTCAGCACTTCCTCTGCACACTACTCAGCATGACTGTCGCATTGGTCTAGTTATGCTGTAAGCCCTTGCACACACGCTTGCACCGATCGTTATAGTTTTTAATCGTTTAAAAAAAAAACTACCGCGCTCATCCCATGTCTCGTGTACGTATCCAGCCGAAAACATACGGAAGGGTAGAGGGAGCTGGAAGCTGCTGTACGTCATCTTGGGACCCAAGACCGCCCTGCATCGCACGTATTTGGAATAAATCTCCCTGGTCCTACATGGACATGATGCAACTCATCCCAGTCTCCCTTAATGCAATTAGGACTTGAACGTCAAAGACCAATTTTGCTTTTAGAATTAAGCCTTATGCTTAGATCATTTGTGCGTAGAAGTGATATTTCTGGAATATTGGTTTGGCCAGGACAAATGCGAAGTTTGACATTTTCAAGAAAATAAAACAATTGCTCTTTTGCAGCGCCGTCTGCAGAGTAGGAGATACGTGTCACGCCATATGTGGGATAAACGAACGCGACGTTTTGACGTTCAGTTGAAATGTTTTAAAACAATCAAGGGAGTCCGCCCGCCCCTGCCCGCTACTTCGTAAATATGCGTCTATGACATGTATTTATACCTATATATATATATATATATATATATATATATATATATATATATATATATATATATAGGTATAAATATTTCATTCAATACCAGCATTCTCGGCTCATTTCCACGCTGAGCAATATCTTCGAACGGCCTCACTCTTACCCAACACCTGGGCATTTGTCTGATTCCGGATCAGTTCAGATTTCATCCGTCCCACTGGTATGCGCTTGGCGCCCCCTCCCCCCGGTCCCGTTATCACAGCGCGGTTCCCGCGTGTCCGCTGGAAGTGCTAGTGGCCGTGCGGAGCCCAACTATCCGCCCCCTCCCGGCCCCTCCGGCACTCACGGCCGGCATGAAAGGGGCGCCGATTCGTGGGTGGCCGACGATTCGCGCGCGCCGCCGGCCGGCGCCCAATCAGCACTGGCTCTGCCTCTGACATCACGCCGGCGATCGGGGCGGGGGAGGCGGGCGCCAGGCGCCGCCAGTCCGCGCCAGGCGAAGGCAGGAGTGGGTCGCGGGCCACCGCAGCGTTCGTCGCCCAGCCTGCCCGCCTGCCGGCCGTGACAGGAGGCAGCGCGCTGTCTGCCTGCATCATGTGGCGGCTGCTGGCCGCTCTCGCGCTCTGCGCGCTCGTCCGGACGCAGCGCGCGCCCGCAGTCGAGTACAAGAACGCACAGAGCCCCTGCTACGACGCTCAGGGTCGCAGCCAGGTCAGTGCGCGGGACCCGGTCGTGGACGGGGCTGCGTGGCCAGCGTGACATCGTGTCATTGATACGGAAGAACGTCTTAAGTTGTGCTGCAACAAGCCGCGAACTCGATACTGACGTGCCTTGTTGTTCAGTCGGTTCACGTGGCCGCCATGCAACCCATGCAGTCGGTGCGCCCTAAAGCCCAAATCATGATCATCATCATCGGTCGGTGACGTCCTCGGCTGTTGAGCCTTGAGTCCCCAGCATCGTATTCCCACACCTCTGAGTGTCCGTGTACCTTCGTGTGACACTGGCGGACAAGGGCACCTCCTGACCCCGTGCTCCCCAGTGGAGTATTGGGCCTCCATTCACACCCCGTGTCTTGCCGATGGAGCCCCATGTTCGCCGATGGAGGTCCTCCGCCGGTGGCGCCTCTTGTCCGCGCGGGCTCGTGTCCGCCGTTGGAGCCCGTGTCCGCCCGACTCCGCGTCTGCCAGCGGAGCCGCGTGACCGTCCCGCCCCCGGCCGCCAGCCGCCGGGCGACCCGGCTGCCCGCCGGGTCCCGTTTCATTCATTCGCGGTGTCAGTTTCCTAATTGCACGGCCACGCGCCGGGCCGGCAGTGGCGCCCGTGTGCAGAACCTGTCCCTCATGGTGCAGGCGGGCCCGGTTGGCGTGACAGTGTCACGTGCCGGGCCCGTGGTGCCGGCCGCCGGGGACAGGACCGCCGGGCTGGCCGCCCCGGCACGGACCCGCCGCACCGCCCCCAGACGCGTGCCGACGGGCGCCGGCGCCCGCTCGCCCGTCCACCCGCCCCTCAAGCTCGGTTTAGCACCGATCAGATCCGATAGATGCTGTCCGTGCGGCCGGCTCGAACGTCACTGATCATTTTTGCGGCGGTTGCCGAGCGGGGCTTTCTTTTATCCGTCTCGACCGGACCGGATTTGCCATGCTGGCGGCGCGAGGCTCTGTGCCTGGTAGCGCTGTTTGTGGCGTGAGCTGGACTCAATGGCGGGTGGACCGTTCACAGAGGCATGTGAACCAGGGCTTTGTGTGTTCCCACAGATCAAGCGGGAGCTTTGCATCATGCTGGTGACTGCACTGAATGCATCAATCGAAGCCGCACCACAATCACTGTTTGAGACTGATGTCATATCTTCCCGTACTACAGCCAGCTAGGGAGGCTGCACCTTGCTACAACTTAAACGCCGACTAGGCACTGTCAACCTGTCCTTTGTTGCTGTCGCCGCATATTTGGTACCTGTGCGGTGACCAAGCATAGAATGGTGACTCGCTCAGTCCTGCAGGCTTGAGAATAATGAGTCTGCGAGACTGAGCGCCACGCTCATCAGACTCAATAGGACAACAAGGGGGGGGGGGGAGGTCTGCGCCCGACTCACGTTGTCAGGGAGCCTCGCTAGCCTCCGCATGTGAAGCCTCCGCCGGCGGTCTAAAACGCCAATGAATGACAACACAGATCTTCAACTGCAGATTTTCTGTGCAGTTTGCCTCCGCATTTCTTCAAGTCCCTCATTGTATCTGTGCGTATGTACTTCAAGTGTTGTGGGAGTGTCGTTCTTGGCACCTTTGTCGCTTGAAAGTCTGTTAGAGCAACCCCCAAATCCGGTCACGACCAGTCCTACATCTGGAGTCTCCGCTGGACCAGTCCTACATCCCGAGTCTCCGCTGGACCAGTCCTACATCCCGAGTCTCCGCTGGACCAGTCCGATATCCCGAGTCTCCGCTGGACCAGTCCGTTCTCGAAATCGTCGCCATCTTGTTTCCGAAACTGCCGTTCGTTATGACGTTTTGTATCCATCTGACGCGTCCCAGACCCTCTGGTCCGTTTCGCGACGGTACCGAGCGGATGTACTGGCGGTGCGGCGGGCGTGTGGTATGGCGGAGCCGTTCTGTGCTCCTGATCGGTGGCGAATTGAGCGTCGAGGCACTTGATGGTATTTGCCCCGTGAAGCTTAGTAGTCGGCTCTTGTCTGCTCCCGAGCAGACGGCGTCCGAAGAACGCTGCCCTCCCCTCTCCCCTCCGCACCCCTCTGCCGCGGCTCGTTCTGCCTGATTTGCGGCACTGTGCTCACGTAACGGTTCTGGTAGTCGCTGACTTTTGTCATTGTTAGTTTTCAAGGTCATTAAGCGTCGTGTTGTGAACTCCTCTCAGGTGTTTCAATGTCATTGTATTTGATTGCGTGTGAAGAATGCGGCCTTTTCCGAGGGGTCGGTCGGTTTAAGCTTTTCGCTTAATTGGTCAGCGCATTGTTACATCGAACATTTTGTAGCTGGAAGAATGACACACAATAGAGCTCAACGTCATAGTAACTCAACAGGCGCTGCCGGGCGTCCATCGCTGTTACATAATACCTTCGCGGCGTTCGCATGGTGGTCACAAGCTTGCATATCCAGACTTGCTTTAGGATTTCGGATGGCTAAAACTGGCCAGTAGCTGAGCGTCAATCTGTCCACTCATCACTGTACACAACACAACAGCTTAGCGTCATACCGCTCGGGTTTCCTACCCCGGAAACCACACCCTCCATCTCCGCTCTGCACATGTTGCCCTTCCATGAGCTGCCTGCGGTCAACCGGACGGCACCCACAGTTGCTTGTGACGTTTCCGCCGCTACGCGGCTGGGTTCGGTACAGTCGGCGAGAGCCTTCTCCAGTCTGCTGACGCCGGCGCCAGACTGGGCTCCCCTCTCAGGTTCGGTGCAGTCGGCGAGAGCCTACCCCAGTCTGCTGACGCCGGTGCAAGGCTGGGCTCCTCTCTCAGGTTCGGTGCAGTCGGCGAGAGCCGGCTCCAGTCTGCTGACGCCGGTGCAAGGCTGGGCTCCCCTCTCAGGTTCGGTGCAGTCGGCGAGAGCCTACCCCAGTCTGCTGACGCCGGCGCCAGACTGGGCTCCCCTCTCAGGTTCGGTGCAGTCGGCGAGAGCCTACCCCAGTCCTGCTGACGCCGGCGCCAGGACTGGGCTCCCCTCTCAGGTTCGGTGCAGTCGGCGAGAGCCTACCCAAGTCCTTACGCCGGTGCAAGGCTGGGCTCCCCGCTCAGGTTCGTGCATTTCTGCGAAGTCCTACCCCATTCTGCTGACCCGTAGCTGGCTCCTCTCTGGGTTCGGTGTCAGTGCGGCGAGAGCCTACCCCAGTCTGCTGAGCGCCGTGCAAAGGCTGGGCTCCTCTCTCGGGGTTCGGTGCAGTCCGCCGCGAGAGGCCTACCCCAGTCTGCTTGACGCCGGCGCCAGACTGGGCTTCTCCCTCTCAGGGTCGGTGCAGTCTGGCGGAGGAGGCCTACCCCAGTCTGCTGACGCCGGTGCAAGGCTGGGCTCCTCTCTCGGGTTCGGTACAGTCGGCGAGAGCCTACCCCAGTCTGCTGACGCCGGTGCAAGGCTGGGCTCCTCTCTCGGGTTCGGTGCAGTCGGCGAGAGCCTACCCCAGTCTGCTGACGCCGGCGCCAGACTGGGCTCCCCTCTCAGGTTCGGTGCAGTCGGCGAGAGCCTACCCCAGTCTGCTGACGCCGGCGCCAGACTGGGCTCCCCTCTCAGGTTCGGTGCAGTCGGCGAGAGCCTACCCCAGTCTGCTGACGCCGGTGCAAGGCTGGGCTCCTCTCTCGGGTTCGGTGCAGTCGGTTAGAGCCGGCTCCAGTCTGCTGACGTCGGCGCCGTGGAGCCGAGTACGGGTAGTGCCGAGCAGCTCTGCGCCCCTGGTGTTTACGGCTGACGCCATTGTTTCAAGAGCGTGCAGGCGCCGAGCCGGGTTGAGACGGCGCCCTTTGAACCACTGCCACTCCAATCAGCTCGATTTACAAACAATGCAGCGTTTGGATGCATGTCCGGTAATTGCTGGCGTCTCCGGCTCCCGCCCTTCTGCTTAGGCGTTGGCTGACAGAAGTGCGTTGAAAAATAAGGGGCTGTAGATGTTTATGCCGAATACTTTGCCGCCGAGTCATTTACGATGTCAGTTATGCGCATTGATACCGGTGTCTTCTGGGTACACCAACGTCCGTTCATTTTAACACCGGCATCTCAAAAAGGCATGTTATTAACCGTACAATTGGTCGAGCCTTTTGCTTCGGCAAGTCTTAAAGTTAAACGAGTTTTGTCCTAAAAATACTACCTCCGATCAAGGATGCAGCCTCGCAAAATCAGTTGGCCACCTGAGGGCGGGAAACGTAGCCTGTCCCTCAAATCTGATTTCTCTCCGGATTTAGACCGCTTCGTTTTGCGTGAGCATTAGGCTGAGATGTGTAAAGACTTCAGTGATATGAGACTTAAATGCATTTTTAAGGTTTACGAGTTAGTTAGCTAAGGTTACTAGTTTAAGGTTAAGAGCTTACGCTTAAAATTTGGTGGTTACCTAATCATCCTGGGCTTTGCGTAAATGCGTACTTAGTTTGTACCTGCGCGCGCTGGAGGCGCGTGATTTATTTTCCAGAACAATAATTTATCAGTAGGTCACATTTTGGAATGCAGTTGGGTCTCAAGTTGGACAGCAGTGCATTGGAATTGTTATGTGGAAAAGCCTGGGAATAAACATCGTGTTTTTAAGGCAGTCTCAGACAGAGGCATGGTTACGAATGATTATTTATTTAACGATTACGGTAACGATAACGATTGTTACGAACGATTTTACCACGTCTTCCAAACCTTGCGAAGCAATATCCTGGCAAGGTTTCAGATTTAACATCGCAGCTCTTCCGCGACGTTTACGGGAATTGCCTATATTAATAGATCATCGGATACTGTACGCCGAAGGGTCCTGGGTTTTAAGCCTAACACCAAATTGTACGAAATTTTTGACCAACTCTTATGCCACAAACCCTAATATTGCATTCTAGCTAGTAGTATTACAGATCTGCACCGCATGTGCGCCGAAGTGACGAAGGTTTTATGTCATTTTAGACGCTAAATGCTTTGGAAGCATTCAACCCTGCCTAATTTGCGGCGCGCAGCAATGGCACCCAACCTGAAAAACCATGTGGATACACATAGGAATCCAGGGTATCCAATGATATGATAC